TTGCATCCTGCCCGTGAATTTGACATCAATCCACCCTAGGGGTAGACTGAGGTGGAATGCAGTCTAAAAATCCTTAAAAAACCTCAAATTTCCAAAAAAGAGTTTTATCATAGACTAAGGATAAGGATCCAAAGTGACAAAACTTGAGAAATTCAAAGCCTTGGTTAGCATCTCTAGATGTTCTGTACCGTTTTACACTTCATGTGTGTGTTGACCTTGTCAGAGATCTCAGAGCTGTACTGGTTGAATTGAATGATACATCCATGGTTGAGATGGTAACTCGGCATCACTCCCAAAGGGGACAGGATGATCCCACTGAGGTGAGGGATGATCTCATTTAGAGTCTCTACTGACGTTTCCCTGGTCAGAATGGGTATGGGCGTTTGATTGGTCCGAGTAAACTCACTTACCCATGAAAATAAAAATGAATGGGGCCTTAGGCTCAATTTAGAAGGAGTATAAATGCAAATATGTAGAATGTAAAACTTTATATTTTGTATTATTTTGTATGTATTTATATTGTATATATTTGTATTTACACTCTTTCCAAACTGAGCAATTAGTATAAATGAAATTTCATTGCAAACAGAAACAAGTGAAGACCAGCTAAAGGTCTCAGTTATTTCAAATTAATAAGAAGGAAAAGGAAATTACTGCAAAGAAAGGGAACAAAAGGGGTCCAATAGGCACATGAGACTGGTGATATGGGCAGTGTTGGGCTTCATTTGGATGGTGTCCAAAGGTGCACAAATGTGGGTAATGGATGGTATTTCAGTAATTTTAAACTTTACATCCTAGATTTTTTTTTTTTATTTTTTATTTTTACCTTTTTCTAAATAATAGTAATAGTGAAAATAATCTTTTCAAATGAAGCTAGGGTGATAACTGACAAGTCTGGCCCGGCCCATCGCTTTATGAAGGCCCAACTTAGAATTTATTAATTCCCTTTACTGATTTATGTAAATGATAAATTCAATATACATGTGATAGTGCTTGGATTTGCTTTAATATCCATAACACAGAAATGCCTATTTATGAAGGCCCATCGCTTTGGATTTTATGTTCAAGATGGCAATTTTGAACATTGAGAAGTGTTTTTTGAGTAATATTCATGGTCACTGGTCAGCCCAGTGCAAATCACTTCTGCCTGACATTGAAGTGAAGTTGATTTTGTGTGTCGCGGACTGTTGATATGATATGATAGTTTGATATAGAGGATATTGTATCAAAATTTTGAACCATTATTAGGGTGTATTTGGTTGGAGTGTAAATCTGAATCGTTGAAAATTTATACTCTGGTTCACATTTGCTTTTATTTGGTTAGGGTTCAAAAATCAACTGGTTTTCGATGCTACAAACCAAGGTTTGCATCGAAAATAAGAGGGAATTTGTTTTTCAAAAATCAAAGTGAAATTTGCATTCTTTGTCGGTTGAAGTAAACAGTGCATTGATATCGACTATTTTCTCTAAGCTTGTGTGTGTGTGAGAGAGAGAGAGAGAGAGAAGAGATTGGTTCTGAGACCTCTTTGAGAGTTCGAGAATTCTATAGATTTTTTGTTTCTCTTTGAAGATTTGAGATTTCCAGAGAGAAGAGACTGGCTTTGTTTCTCTTTGAGAGTTTGACATATTTTTTTTGTTTCTCTTTGAAGATTTGAGAGTTCGAGACTGGTTCTGTTTTACTTTGATGATAGAAATAAAATATAAATTTAAAACCAACACATAAATAGATTTTTTTTTTCCATTTGGTGGAAGTCAATAATTCAACCTTTTCTGGGTCAATTGTGTAAACGCTTGATGTAATAGTTAAATAATAATTTAAAAAATAAAAACACAAAAAAGTATAATGAATACAAAAAATGTAGAAAATTTTAAAAACATATTATTTATTATCATCATTATCATAAAAAATTACCACTTGCCCACTTACTAGTTAACCAATTTTTTTTAATGCTTCATCTAGGCTACACAGCCGGGGGTAGATTTTTTTTTTTAAAAAAAGGTAACATAAGGTTGAATTAAAGAAAAGAAGAAATGTAGTGTACAAAGCCTAACACAACTAGGAACGACAACGGGGTGGGGCTGGGGCGGGGAGCCTCTCCCCAACCCCGTCCCCGCGAAAATCCCCATCCCCGTCCTCATCCCCATCCCTGCTAACGGGGACAAGGTTATCCCCATCCCCATCCCCGTGGGGATCCCCATTCCCTGTAATATTTAATGATGTTAATAATTTTGTTTTTGTTTTTTATTTTATTTAAAAAATAAAAATAAAATAATTAAAATTTACAATCTATTAAAAAAGATTCAAGCATATTCAACCATATTTTTAAAATATTAATATATAGACGTATGTGTATATATAACGTATATATACATATATACATATATATTAGTGGGGATCCCATAGGTGGGGATTGGGGTCCCCATGGGGCGGGGAGTGCTCTCCCCGTCCCCGTCCCCGGCCTATCCCTGCTAACGGGGATGAAAATTTCCCCATCCCCGTCCCTGCGGGGGGAAATCATCCTCATCTTTGCCCCATTCGGGGCGGATCCCCACGAGAATCAGGGAAATGGAGAAAATTGCCATCCCTAAAAATAACATGAACGCCAACCAACAAAGCACCAAAGAGGCTTTGACCCACAAGCAACAAGAGCCCAAAGAAAGCCTAAGAGATCCCTACGGGCTCACGACTACAAAACAAACCCAAAAACAGAACCAAAACCACAAACCCGGTGCAAGACCCTACACCTTAGCCCCCTACCACGAGTGCAATGACTTCCTCTTTTGCTACCTTTTACTACTATTACATCTGCATAGAAATCTCCCAACTTCTTTGTTTTCTTGTACCTAGGCGGAGAGAGTCGAGGCTATTGAAAGAGCAACTAGAGAACTCATTGCTCCAAATAGAGAAGTGATTTTCCTCCGAGCTAACACGCTCCAATTGCTGAGTAGAATGGGCCTCATGGGCAAAAAACTCTTTAGATCTAAGAAACTCCCTGACGTTGTCCTCACCATCTTCAAAAGAAACTCCTAGATGCTTTCCGAAACTGATAAGGGAATACACTAGGGGTGTCCACGGTTCGGTTAATCGAACTATGGCTCTTTTTTGTAAATCGAACCGGTGGTACCAGTTTTTCCAATTCTCCAAACTGAAATCAAACTGGTACCACCAGTTAATCAGTTCGTCGGTTTCGGTTTTTGACCGGTTCGGTTCTTTAGTTTATCGATTTTTTATATTTACAATATATATTATACAAATATATGTATAATATTATATAATAAATAATAAATGATATATAATATATTATAAATATTTGAAAAATATAATATATATATATGATATTTATAAATAGATCATTATAAATATAATATAAGTATATATTTATATATATAATGAATATATATTTATATATAATACATAGAACATTTGTGACATATTAAAAATATATATATCGGTCGGTTCGATTAACTGTCGGTTTTTTTGTAGGTTAACCGAAAACTGAACCGATCCTTTAGTTTTTCAAAAATCCTGAACTGAAACCAAACCGATTGGTTCGATTAACTGCAATTTACGATTCAGTTTTTTCGGTTCGATTCGATTTTTCTGTTGTTTATGGACACCCCTAGAATACACTCTTTGCTCTATCACCTTGAGATCACCAGTGCCCTCATCAAAGTTTACCTTCTCAACCATAAATCTTTAATGAAGACTTTCTACAGGTGAACCTTAACCTTGGTTGCTTGAAAAAATCTTTTGAGCCTCCTAAAATTTTAAGGTTATGGATACTGTTTATTGGGCCCTAGCTCTACTACCTTTTGGGCTTAAATCCTTTTTAAGACTCTCCCAAATAGACCTGACCCGAACCTCTATAAAGTGGGTTGATGAAAACACAGACCTTGGACTGATCCACACACTTATGCTACCCACAATGGGGGTAAATGATCTCCATCCAAGCCTGGTGGTAGCGGGATTTGATTCCCGGTTTAGATATTTTTTTTAAGGCTGTGTTGGGAAACGATGCAAATAGAGTGTAAATCCCGGTTCAAGGTAAATTTGGTTCACTTTTGCCTATATTTGGCAACATTACATTTATGCATTGACAAATAACAGACCAATGCATATATACATTCATAATAAGATGTAAAAGTACATAAATAAAAAAGAAGTAAATTTGCATTCAAGTGGGCTTTTGATAAAAAAAAAAGCATATGTTTTATTGAAATTCATTTTTGCATCCATTACAACTAATGTCTGTTTGGTAAGAAGTTAGATTTGTCGGTGCAAAACTAATCCAACTTTGCAATTTATATATATGAACTGTTTTATACTCTACATATTTGCATTTACACTTATTTGCATCATTTCCAAATACAGCTAACTGAAAATTTTGGTTTAGTTAGGAAAATATGTTCACCCTAATTTTCCCTTCTCCAAGAATTCAACCATGATATGAGAAAGATATGATATCTGAAAATTTTTTGACCAATCAATTGGTATCATAAATGTGGTAGCCAATCAGGTGTTATTTATCAAAATTCATGGGTAGGTTTTGATTGGTCAAAACTCTTTAGCTATCATATCTTTCCCACATCATAGATTTTCCCTTATTAATTAAAAAGCAAGTGAAGAGAATATTAAAAGTCTATTTATTTTGCAAGGTGCTAATCGACTGATTGTAATAGATAAAAGCTTTGGGTTGAATCCCGGCTGCACCTGGGTTGGGGGTTTATGAGTTTGGGGATGGGGTTACCCCAGAGCTCAGGACCCGATACCAAAAACTAAAGAAAACTCAACTGAAACCTAGGGCTGTGTTTGGTTGCAATGCGAATTTATTTGCACTGATGCAAAACTATAATAAAGCAAATGATTGCAGTACAAATGAAGTAAAATAAGACCTGAAGTATAATAAAGTAAAATCCAAAACAAAATTAAACCAAAATTTGCATTATTTTCATTTATACTCCCATGCATTTGTATTAATGCAAATAAAATTGCACTGCAACTGAACATAATCTAAACAACAATTAAAACTCTCCAAGTAAAACAACAACTGCCCTGGCCCAAAAGAAGACAAACCTCCCAAAAAAATCTCAAGCAACCCACAAACAAGCCTCAACCCAACTTCTACTCCTAGAGACAACTTACCTAAGATCTAGGAACAAACTTGGCTTCTGAGAGACTTGTATATATTATTTCATAAAAAGAAACCCAGCATACCATAACATGTTTAACCTATATTCCTAGGCGATAAGTGAACCCTCAGAGGATTCTTCATCACGACAGTGAACACCTGTTTCTCTGTCAAGTCTACCTCATCTCCGTCCTTGGTTGTCCACTCAAACTCTTTAACCAAATTGGCCACAAAGTACTCCAGATGAAGCAAAGCCACAGAAAGACCAGGGCAGATCCTCCTCCCTGCCCCAAATGGCATCATCTTAATCTCTCTACTTCCGGTTATATCAAACACTTTCTGTTCTAATCCATCATCACCTGTCAAGAACCTCTCCGGCTTGAACTCCATGGGGTCCTCCCAAACTTTTGGGTCCCACCCCATATCTGTTATCGTGAAACTCACTATCGCATTCTTTGGTACAAGACGCCCATCTATGGTGATATCCTCTGTGACTGTGTGTGGGATCAAGAAGTGCGACGGTGGGTGTCTTCTCAGACCCTCCAACACCACTGCCCTGAGATATGGCATGTTCTTCAGATCGTCCTCTTTGATTTCTTCTCCGGGCCCTACCACCCCTTCGATCTCTGAGAGCAGCTTTGCTTGGATGCATGGATACTTCACCAGGTTTGCCATGATCCACTGCATTGCGGTGGACGTTGTGTCGGTGCCTGCGTTGAGAAACTCTGAGCACAGAGGCACTATCTCCTCCTCGGTGAGCTTCCTTCCTCCATTGGGGAGTCGAAGATTGAGCAACGTATCGACGTAGCAGACGACCATGTCACCCTCTCCTACCTGGCATTGCGTCTTCTTCTCGTGTTCTTTTCGTGCTCGAATTAGAGGAATGAGAACACTTAACTGATTACGTCGTAGCTCATAGAGCTTGTTCCTTTTCTTTCGAAATATGATCTTTCCTAATATGGGCACCAAAGCAAGCATGTTGAATTGGCCAAAACTGGTCAAAAGCTTCCTCTGAATGGTTTCGATGTCTCTGATAATCTCCTCATTGAGTTTCTCTCCAAAACACATATGTACCAAAAAGCAAAACATTGCGTACTGGAAGTAATCTACTACACAAATGCTTTCATTGGATTTGTCTTGCTCCTTGAGCCTGTTGATCAGTATCTGCAAGACCCGTTTACGGGTGTGTCCGTATGACTTAACTCGTGAAGCATGAAGAATCCCAGAGGTGAGATTCCGACGGAAGAGGCGCCAGAGTAGGCCGCATGAGGCGGAGCTAATGCTGTATCGGTTGGTGGTGATGAAACTGTTGGGGTCTAGAGCTGAAGGACGATCAGCAAAGATGGCGCCATGCTGGATGAGGGCTTTATGGGCAAGTTCATGGGTGGTGATGGAGATGGCTTGGTGAAAACCGAAGTTGAACCTGATGATGGAGCCGTACTTGGTGTGCATGTCGCGAAGAATGCATTCGATTTCTGAAAGAGATTTCCGATTCCATAAGATGTTGCATATGATAGGCAACGCAAAGGGGCCTGGTGGGAGTTTTTTATGCTTATCTGAGCTGAGTGAGCAGTGATCCAGGAGAAATTTCAGGGTTGCACAGATACAGAGAGAGGTGAACAAGATGAACCAGACCTCCATATGAGAATGGTGAGTGACTCTAAGAGCTGGATTAATTAAACTCAAAGAAACTGCAGTGGCTTTCCTTCGTTGTGTACACAATTGGAAGAAAGCATTGGGTCCTTTTATGAAAAAAATTAATTAATAATATAATCGATTGAAAATTTAACTACGGATAAAAGGGTTATGATCTATAAGTTACCATGACTTTTTTGCATTTGTCTTAAATCTACCATAACTTTTTAAAATCTCTAGAGAATCCCATTGTCAGAAAATAAAAGGTTTTAATAAATTTCCAGTATACAATTAGAAGTACTGTTCATCATCTTCTTCCCCTCTCCCCCTCAACAACTGAACCAGAATCAGATATACCCTAGCTCTCTCTCCCTTCCCCTTCTTCTTTTCCCCTCCCTCTTTTCCCTCTTTCTCCCCTTTCCTCTCCACTACCTAGCAAGACACAAAGGACTCGTTAATTTCCTGGTCATGTTCTTGCTATATAGTGGCAATATTTCTTGCCTAGAAAAGATGAGGAAATGAGGCCCTTGCAATATAAGGATTCATCAAATGCGGTGAAGATTATAGTTTCACACTATGATAATATCCGTTGTGTAGTGTATTCTCTTTGGAGGTGTTCTTTTTTTGGATTTGAATGGGATTTTGGTTCCCATTGATCAAGAATCCTATGTTCTTTTTACATCTTTATGTGGGGAATAGAAAAAGTTTATTTGCTTTTGGTTTATGAACTTTGGATTTGCAACAATCTATAGTGAGATTTTGAGGATTAGGCTTTGATTTGGATGAGTGGACATGTATGAATCCATGAAATATTAGAAACTCTATTTCAGATGAAGTTCTTGCTATCAATATAACCTCAGAAAGGGGTATTTTTGTCATGCAAATTACTTAAATGCTTAAGTGGACAACTTCTACTGATGGTGAATTAAGGGAAGGGGTGAATTTGGATACTAAAAACTCATTGACAGGGGGCTCTCTAGAGGTTTTGAAAAGTTATGAGGAGTTTAAGGAAAATGCAAAAAAAAGTAGGTGGGTTTTAGATAATATTCTGAGTTAAAGTTAGTGAAGTGGTCCATACTATTAATACCATTAATTCGTGTTGGTCCATGATTTATTGAAGTGACCCCTTTAGATAAGCAATATTTTATAAGACATGTGAACACCATACTAACAATCCTACCTTCCCAAACCATCCATTTAATACTATTAATATATATATATATGTGGACGAAATACTATTGTGATAGGTAAGAATGTAATTGAATGGCCTTTATAAATTTGTTTAGATAATAGATTATTCAATGTTTATTTTACTATTTAAATCTATTTATTGTTTAACTTAAATAGATTTATCATGTTATTTCATATTAATTCGGGTTATATGTATCGTTTAATATATATAGAACTAAACATGTTAAATATGTTATTCTGGATTACATGGGCTGTGTCGTATTATACGTATAATAAACATGTCATGTTTGTATTTAAAAACTTGACATGATTAATTAATCATGTTGAGGGTGTTTGATTCCATTTAAGTTTATTGACGGTGCCACATAGGCACCACTTTAGCATTTTCTCTCTCTTGCTCTTGTGTATGCATTGAAAATGAAAAAAAGTTAACTTTAATTATTGTGCATGCCAGCCATTTGTGATATGGAGTCTGGTTGCGCATAATTGCTATAAATGGTTGTAATTATTGCATTTCTCGGTTTTATCAACAAATAAAATACAAACATTTATTCAATAAATATAAACTGAACCAAACACATACGTTGTATTTGTATTGACCTATATATATTATAATACCCCTCCTTTATATAATAGAAACACAACACAAGAACACGAATTACCTAATACCCTCCCTTTGTGTTGAATCTAGTCTGTCCAGATTGTGTGGAATGAAATCAGCTTCAATCAGTGCAATGCAAGACCCATTCCAACAGCTTTCACAGCCTTGCATTGGGGAATATGATACATTATTTATTATTTTAATGGCTCTTATGTAAATCTCAACATTAACTGTGGTAACAACATCAATGGTGTTTGATTTGTGCTTTCCACGAGGGGAAAATGAAACAATTGGTATTGAAGAGCTTGATGAGATCAATCTCTCGTGTCATCAAACATCAGTTGCATATAAGATAAATCCACTCATTTTCTATTCCAACAATGCCTTTATTTGTCTTGAGTTCAGATCTGCGCCCCACAAGAGGGCGCCCGTGCCCCATAATATTTCACAGCACATTCTCATTGTGCTTCGTGTATTGAGAACATCTCCAAATGATGAGATGAGATGATCATTTCCAATATAATATTGGAAGATATTTCCAATACACTGCAGAGATGTGCTGTGAAACATTGTGGGGTGCACCCTTATGGGGCGCACGCATGTTCTCAAAAATACAATCATGTGGAATTAAAGTGTTTGAAGACTCCAAAATGAGTATTGCATATGTCTTTTGGAGGCCATCCGTCAAATATAAATGAATGGAGACTACTCACATTTGTGGATTATATTCATATGTACCAGAAGCTGTCCAACTATTCATTTATCAACTGCTGTCATCTTGTTAGCAGTACTGTTTGTTATTTATTATTCTGCTTCATTTATGACTACTAATCCTTACGACTCTTGCTATTATATTTAATTTTTTTATTTGTTTAGCAGTTTGGTTGATTTAAGTGCATTATCTTGATTAATTACTGAATCTAATTGACAAAGCCTTTAACTTCCACTACAAGAAATTGTCAAAAGGATTTAATTCAGTTTGGGGGGAATGGTACTGAGCTTGATCTATGAATTCGGATTAAATTCCAACACAATTCTCTCCTTCTTATGTTTTCTAATTTCTTATTTAATCGTATGTTGGTTATTTAAATTATCCTTTTTCTTTCTTATATTTCCTTGTTCACTTTTTTCTTTTAATTTTCTTTTTTTAAGTAATCTAGTAGGATTGGCCATAGTAATTGTATAATCACTTATCTTTTTTTTTTTTTTTTACAAAACCCAAGTCATTAATTTTTTTTAGTGTTAGTCAAATTTACTCATTTATTTGCATTATCACAAGGTAGGCCCTTTCCTTAGAATCATCAATTATTTCCTTAAAACCGGCTGAATAAGTTTTCAAATTTAAGTTCCGTACTGTTATAGCTTGATGACTGTAAGCTCATTTCTAACACCTGCATCCATTTAGACATACAATTGCTGCATAAGTTTTCAATTTTAAGTTCCGAACTATTAGAGCTTGATGACTTAAGCTCATTTATAACACCTGCATCCAGTTAGACATATAATTTCTAGGGGTGAGGGGTGAGAAAATGGGTAGGTTCTACTCAAATCTGAATGCAACCAACTTTAAATCGGCCTTGAATCGACCCTACACAACTTGTGATAGGGAAAGGTCTTGTTCCAAATTCTTAGAATCTAATCAATTTGATGAACTGACCCCACCCAGGCCAGTCATTTACTCTGCCCGAATCGATTTGATGAGCTGGCTTTGGTTGGTCTTGGTGGAATCTGCCTTAGAATCGAATTTGCCTTGAAATAAATTCCAAAATACTTTTGGGGATGTGAAAATTTGAATCCAACAAGTCATGGTTACAAAGGCCATTGTCTCATTTGACCATTGAGTTACTTAAATGATTTGATCATTTGTTTTTATGCTAATTTTTGAGTGTGTATAATAGTTAATGTAAAAAGTAATATTTACAAAATTTAAATTATAAGTTTTGAGCCATATAATGATAATCTGCATATTAACTTACTCAATTTAATCAATAAAAATAATATATATATATATATATATTAAAAATCAAGTTTTTAAAAAATATGCTTTTTTGATGGGAGAGTAAACAAATAACAAGTTCTAGGGGTAGACCCTAAAACTCACCCCAAAATCACCAAGACCAGAACTGGCCTTGGAACCGACCTTTACAGAATAGGTTCCAATTCCAAAAACGTAAAACCAACCCTGCTACCCAAGAATTTTAAACATGGAAAATGTTTTTTTTTTTTTTGAGTTATATTAGTGCAAATCACTTCTGCTACCCAAGAATTTTCTTTCTTTTTTCCAATCCTGATGGCAGTGGGACTTGATCCATTGTTGTTTAGAGTAGAAATAGGTGTTAAAAGTTTTCCAACCATGCTTGGAGGCATTAGGTAAGATTCGCTACTCTTATTATAACCGCATTCAAAACCTTCTCTATAAGAAGAGGAATAAGAAAAAGCTTGTGTTTGAGTTTGGCCAAATTCGTATATTACCCTTACGAGGTTACACTAGTGTCATCCACAATTTTATTGTCTGAGAATTATGTTTTCCTTCGACTCATATAATATGTTAAGTGAGTACCCTTAATTTCAGATTATTAGCAGTTAAGCATGTGTATTGCACTTAAAAGATATTTTTTTTCATATTAATTACTTGAATTTTAGATATATCATAGTTAAGATAGTAATTGAAAATTAACAAAAGTAATAATAATGACTAAAAATAACTTTAATACTTGTAGTAAATGTGTACATGCATTACAATGGAAATTTTAAATTACTATAACAATTATTATTATTATTATTATTATTGTTAAACTTTGTATTCCATTTCTATCATAAATAAAAACAATTTTTATTTTAACAATTATTTTAATTTAATGTGATGAATATAAAACATTAGAAATGTTCTTAAATGTTTTTTGACAAAATTATATAATTTTCATTTTTTGTGTTACATCATTTTTAAATATCTGTTTTTTAATTATGACATCACGAGTTTCTTTGAAAAGTTGGATCATTGACCCACCATTTAAATAAGAAAATAGCATTTCTTTTGGATCAATTTTAAATTATATACTCCATATACATTATATAAATAATTTGTACTTATCACACTTAAATTTTCTTTGACATAATTAATATATAAAAATCTATGATCTTGGAAAGACATGGTATCAGAAAGAGTTTTGACCAATCAAAACCCACCCATGAATTTTGATAAATAACATCTGATTGGCTACCACATTTTTTATACCAGCTGATTAGTAAAAAAATAGATCTTAAATATAAGATTTAATAA